TTTCCGTATTTTTTTAGATTCCATAAATCTTTCGTTTATGCCAATTCATACTTTTTTCATGAAATTTCCGGAAACAAATCCAACTCTCGTAGCTTCTTCCATTATCTCTGTCTCTGGCGGTGTATTTATCAAAATTGTCACATCTCGGTATATACATAATATTATTTATTAAGAATTGTTGGAATAATATTTGATGGAAAATGCGCTTTCTATCCAAAGCACTGATGAGAACTATACTCTAAAGAATTTAAAAAACTTCTTCTGACAGTTGTGACAACTATTCAAAGCTGAACAGCAACCAAGTTTTGGTCGATTCTTGTTGATTTTCCATGGAAATGTATGTGGTGTTGGCAAAGTGCTGGGAGAAAAAATATTTCTCACACTATGAGCAAAACATGGTTTTGATACTAAGTTAGCTATGCAGAGAAATGCGTTACTTTCCATAGCAGTAGTAGAAATAAGTTATTTTCTAAATAGCAGTCCTCTCACTCCTATACAAGGTGAATAGTTCGGCAGATGATCAATTCAAGGAATTAATATGAAGAAAAACCACCAATCAGTCGTATTCCACATTTTCCATGGCATTTTAGGTGTATTTGTTTAATGATAAATATAGCATAGTTCACTCCACTTTGGACTATGCCGTAAGCATTAGGATTTGATAAAAATTCCATTATGTATGTCGGTTATAACGAGTACCTACTTTCGTTCTCATTGCATAGGTCACTCGTTGCATTACCCGATACCAATAATAACAATTAATATCCTACCGACTTGATCTACGCCCCTGCTCCTTCTGACCTGTTGGTCAAAGATGGAGGTGCGGGTTAAAGGTGGTCTGGTTCAAGGAACGAGACGAACTATACACGGAAAAACAGGATTTGTTGCATCAACAAATTATTTATGCTTGAGTTATATTCTTGTTGGACTGAGCAATTTTTTGTTGAATCAACCAGATTCATGATTATTTCATGGAAGCAGCTTGTTCAAATCAATAAGAATGTAGTCTTATTGAATCAACAGTATAATATCAATTCGATCAACAAAATATATGGTTTTCTCAAAAACGAATTATGTCGATCCAAAATAATGTTTATGTTGATACAACTATAAACATTTCGTTAATTTGATCAAACTATGATCATTCTGATGAGGATATATCTTTGAAACAACATACAAGTTTTCTTATTCCGATGTAGCAATGAACTCGTTTCGAACGGATCATTTGCTTGAATAGAGCAACGAAATATGTAATATTTATGAAATATTTTGTTCATTCTACATCAAGGTGAATTTTCGCCTCTAGATGGCGATCAATTCGCCTCGTCTATGCCTGCCGCGAATTCATTATATAGGTGAAGCCTGATTCTTCGTGTTCGAAATATCAGCTGATGGATGAATCAAACTTGAAATAGTTAGCAATCCGAAATAGCTTTGCATCAGCTGAAGAGAAGTAAGAACTAAATATCTATGCTATAGAAGTCGACTAGTTTCCTATAGTTTAGTTTATTCTATTGATGTGAAATTTCAGAAAATTCCCGAATTAATACTGAATTTGGTTCAACAAAACAATCTGTCGAATGGAAATTCAGTTTCTCTTGAATCAACAATCAAATATTTCATTGAATTAACCAAATATTTCATTGAATCAACCAAATAATTCATTGAATTATCAACCAAATATTTCTTTGAATCAACCAGATATTTCGTTGAATCAACTAAATATTTGATTGAATCAATATCTTGTTATTTTGAATCAAACAAAATGATTGTTTGAGTCAATTCAATATCTCTTCATAAACAATTCATGGATGTGCTTGATTGAAGAAGATCCAGAGTTCAGGCAAGACATATGCACTTAATTCAAACTCCAAATTCGCTCTGAAATAAGATATAGATTTACTCATTTTAAGATTATATTTTGTCGTGCATACATGACACTTTTTTGCTCCATTCAATTAAATTTTGCTTGATTCAACAATTCCCTTTTTTCCGTGTATGACTGTGTAACCTGTTAGATATATTTCTGAACAACATTCTGTCCATTAAATTCACTTCGAGTTTTATAACGACTGGTTTCGTAATTTATCATATTTTTTATCGAACGAAAAACGGAATAAATGAAATTGATTATGTATACGAGTGAAATGGTTTGGCAGGTACTTGCTACTTTAATTTCAATGATGCAGCAAAAAAGAATAGTACCTATATTCTATAGTATACAAGTCCATTATATCTCGAAGTATGGATAAACATCAAGAAGAAAAACTCTTAGTCATCTACAAAATCATCTGATGAAATCCTTTTTTCCTATATAGATAGAGGTTCATCATAATATCGAACCTCAATTTCACAACAGATATAATATATAAATATCTTTATTGGATTAGAATATTTTCACATTGAGAAGAAAAAATTACATCAATAATACCATAGAACTTAGATATTCAAAAATGCAAATTCAGGTTGGTCCAGATTTTTGAACACTTATTCAGACAGACTTTCCTTGATGGAGGTATATATCAAATCATTGTTCTACCAACAAGTACCTCCAAACATTCACCATAATCGAATTACAGGGCGTTGAAGTTCAATTTGTTCCATTTCTATGGGTGTTCCATGAAAAAATATGTTTATCAGTTCCTCTTCCATTTTTTCCGTTCAGTTTGTTATTAATGAATTCTGAGAATAATTGAGATAAATCTCACCAATTGGCATCTTGAAATTTCCAAATATCATTATGAACAAGAAAGGTACAGGGGTATTATGGTAGACCACCCTGTACAATTCACCATCAGAATATATTTATATGATAGGATAAATAAGCGGATGATTCAGAAACTAAAAAGTAGAAAATGATGGGTTTTCAATGAGTAATATTTTCTATGTGATCATTCAGATTTATTTAAATGAACTTTATATGAGTCCAAAAGTCCAAAATGGTTGAGAAGCAGTGAAATTCGTTTTGTGAATTCTCATTTACTGACACCACTGTCGAAGCATACATAAGCGAAAGTATATAGTGATAAAGAAGATACGATCCAAATTGGGAGCCTTCTCAATTCAGAAATCTGTTGAAGGTTGACACAGAATTAGTCTGGCAGATATTCGATAACTTCAAAAAATTTATAAAGATGTCTGCAAGAAGATGCCTGCAACGCAGGTGTAATTCCTGTTGAAAACTTGAAATATCACGTCGATATCTTTCTGATTTTAACATAATGTGAAATCTTCTAAATAATTTTGATTCGTTCCTCCTTTTGTAACAGAAAAATGAAGTGTATTATACACAGGAAAAATATTAGAATTTAGCTCACGGTGATATCACCTGATGAAGCTACTGTGTTACCGAAACATGTTGTATGTGTTTGAGAATCTTATCGTTGTGAAGTTTTTGCAATAATTATAATGATGTTTATCAATATTACATTATACATCAAGGGACAGAAATGCAACATTTTTTCCAAGGTGCGATTTGTAGCTCGAGGGCGATTTTCCGTTAAATTGTATTTGGACAGACGAAGTTTATGTGAGCAGTGCCGGTATTTTCAACCGCTACATTTCGTATACTTGGGCACAGCAGAATCCAATCCTCATTCTATTGTGGAGCAGAGAATACAAGGAAGATTTAGATTTAGTGTATGGGCAGGTGTTTTCAGGGGTAGAATTATCGGCCCGTATATTTATAATGACACTCTCACCTCTCAGAGGTATCTGGAAATTTTAAAGAATCAAATAGAACCCCTTCTGTACGAATTGACGCTAATGGAGCTCAGGGAAATATATTTTCAGAAGGACGGGGTTTCCCCTCACAACACTGCAATCGTCGACAATTTTTTAGCAGCGAATTCTGGCAATAATTGGATAGCCAACCAAGGTCCCAACCGTTGGCCGGCCAGGTCACCGGACCTAACGCCTATATGGACTCTTTCCCCTGGGGAAGGATGACAGATCTTATTTTCAAATTGCCGACCAACTATAGACAGGAATTGGAAGCAGAGTTTTGCTTCTCTCACTCCCATTGAACTAATCAATGCGGCAAGACATGTTCAGAAAAGGTGCCGCATGTGCGTAGGAGAAGCTGGTAGACATTTTGAACACCTATGAAGGAATATTTTGTTATTGTTCGCTCTTTATTATTGTTTTTGAAGTTTATTTATCATTTTTAAATATAGTTTGAATTGTTTCCAATTCAGTTGTGTTGAACAAATGAGTTTTAATTACTGCTATGGACAGCTCTCTTAAACTTTTACGGCTTTGGAATTCCTTGAAAATGAAAGTATTCCCAAGAACTTATAACCTTCGAAAGTTCAGAGAAAATTCCAACAACTACGTCCTCTACCCTTTTTTCCCTAGGAACGCACAATGCTCCACAAACACTAGGAATTTCCTTTCGTGCGCTCGAAGAGATGAAAAAAAATCGCCTTCTCTTTTATCGCCGCATCTAAAAGCTTAAAAGCACTGTATTCCAAAGAGGACTTCAATAAAATATCAAGTGTGCTATATATTTTAGGAATGGTGATTTCAAGCTCTAGTGAAAAAAATATTTTTTCGTTCTACCTGAAAAAGTGCTTTGGAAATGTTTTTATAGAAACAACAAATTTCCGACAGGAGAAAAGTTACAGCAAGTTTTCGAAAATGCACATTTTCGAAAAACATGCTGTAACTCAGAAACGATGACAGATATCGATGTGCAGTTTTCACCATTGAGTTTGTCATAAAAATCAGACACCAACATCAGTTTTCGTCTATCTAGTTTGGAAATAGGACTCTCCCTTTAAAAGTGTCCAATTTGGCCCACCCTGTACATCGCCATTCAAATGATTTCGGTTAGATTCATTAAAACCCCATGCATTGTATGATTCAATGTATCACTCTCTATATTCAATATCCAGCACAAATACCGGGCTAGAGGAGCTGGAAGCTTCTCAGATCTTGATAGAACGATGAACACGAGAACCAGTAAAAGTAAATTTCAAGTCACAGTGCACGTTTCATAAGGGGAAGGTCACAGGTCTTAACCCGACCCTGACCTACGACCTCTGCACGCCTCGGCATCGTAAGCGTTTGACTACAAACGATATTCTCGACATCAACAGAGCGTCTGACGAGATTCTTCAAGCGTTCTTTTTCGAAAACCGTAACTTGAATTCGAAAGTAGTGCAGCGAGAAAAAAAGTTGTTTGACTTCCAACTAGTATTTCTATTATTTATCCAAATTCGAGAAAAATATCTGTTGAGCGAGCATACTTCGTGACGTAAGTGAGTCTTAGTGGCATAGTGAAGTTGACGCTGTAGGTCTCGGATGTGAATTTACGGGGTGTTCCTAACTTCATTATCTAGGTCGAAAGATTGAAAGTGCAATAGGGAAATTGGAACGATGTTGGCAGCTATCAAATTGGAATCGGACTGGGATATATTCTTGCCTCCACGTAAGTTTCTCCTATGCATTTTGAGATACATAATTATGTAAAATCTCATATCGAATCGGGCATTTTCTATACATATCTCAGAAACGAATAATGATACAACTTATTGGACATATCGGATGGGGCATTTTCTATACAGGGTGAACAATTAATAACGGCCTTTCGGCCATATCTCAGCAACGAATAATGATACAACTTTGAAAAAAAAACATATCTCAGGAAAAGTGACCCTAAAGGAAGCTGGGAAATAGTTTTTGGTTTCTAAAATAACCGCAAGCAGGCGTAACGGCTATGAGTAATGAGAACACTGAAATTTTCTCAGTATTTGGTAGTAACAAGGTCTTGTTTCACACTTTTTGTCCTATCTCAAATAATAAAGTGTTGGGGGAACGTCAGAACATGTTTTTTCTAAACGTCTCTGTAACTCTGGTCGTCTTCAACAGAATTCAATTCAACTACCTATCTGTTCTATCAACTGTGATTTGAATTGCATGTGTGAAGGCGTGATCTAATAGAGTATCAATGGATATCGTGACTATACACAAAAAACTAGTTAAATGTAATAGTATGCATATTATTCCATGATGAAATAAATAAACTAAATCTCCAACGACCAACGGAAACCGCAACATGATTTTTCGCTAACGGAAGATACTAAAACGAACAAAGTTGAAAGAATGATTGATGACAGCCGTTCTTAGGTGTTCACCCTGTACATTCTCGAGTTAGGGTTCGTTTAATCTACAGGGAGATTCAAGTTTACATGCACGAACTGAAATGTGTGATAGATCTCATTTCAATCAAAAAAAGGCTTTATGAACATAAGTCCAATCTCGATCAGTAGCGGAGCTACAAGAGGTTAAAGATTAATTATGTTTTTCTATTAATCAAAATATCTTGCTCACTATTGAGGATATCAATTTGAAATTGAGTGAGGTTGTTACTTTCCAGAAGATCATCGTTTTTAAGCATTTTGAAGATTTTCAAAATCTACAGGGTCATACAGTTTTAGGGGTACAGGCTTCTTTATCCCACCCAAGATTTTTAGTAGTCGATGGATTATGTGAATTGTTCAATTTGGAGACTGTTATTGCTCTCCAATTTAATTTGAGAATCGAACCGTTTTCGAAATAAATAAGCATATCCGTTTCAAAATTTTATTCTTGGAGGAAATTCAACCAACTTTGAGGATTTGAGGACTAACAAAACCTTCACGTTCTACCCTTTTTGCATCTCGGCTACTGATCCTGTTTGTAATTTTACTCGTAATTTCAGTATATTTTATTGCATTTTCTCTTCGAATGTCATCCAATAATAAAATTCAAGCGCAACAATATAGACAAAATTATAACATGTTTTTAGAACGGATATGCTTATTTATTTCGAAAACGGGTGGTTTCTCGCTAAAAGTCTGAATGTAAAAAAGCCTCAAAATTGAACAATATATCATCTTTTCTAACTGCAAGATGCCTCTACCCCCAAAAACATATCACCCTGCAGATTTTAAAAATCTATAAGATGCTTAAGATGATGATCTTCTAGGAAGTTAGCATCAACCACACTGAATTTCCACTTGGAAGAGAATAATAAACTTAGACGTCCTGTAGCTTCGCTCCGAGAAGTGAATATCCAGGAAAAATGTGTACACCAGACTTCCAATTAACATAGACTTCCAAAGACTTCCAAAGACATCCAAAGACTTCCAAATACTTCCAAAGACTCCCAAAGACTCCCAAAGACTTCCAAAGACTTCCAGAGACATCTTCTTAGGATTACCAAAGACATCCAAAAACATCCAAAGACTCCCAAAGAGTTCCAAAGACATCCAAAGGATTCCAAACTCCAAAGACTTCCAACGGAATGTACACCAGACTTCCAAGGAGATTTACCCCTCGCTTCGCTCTGATCGAGATCAGACTCATGTTTATGTAAACTTTTTTGATAGAAATGATTATATCTATCACCCATTTCAATTTTTGCAGTTGAATCTGAATCACCCTGTATAGTGTCTGCGAACATATCACATACTGAATCTTGAAAACTTTTCTGAAAGTGAGAAGCTGTCCAAGACAGGGTTGTCACAGGTGGTTACTATTGTACCAGATTTGGTATATTTTGCCAAGAAAAGTACGTTAGAACTACATTCCCAAAATGAGGCCATTACTGGTATAAGAAATGAAAAGTGCATATACAGGGTGGCATAGAAATAAGTGCAAATATTTCAAACACTGAGAGAGCTCGACGTGTACTATCGAATGGCACTAATGAGAAAAAACAGGGATCAAAATGAAATTTGAGGTTAGACCCGTTTTTCCCCCCAAAGTTCTACACTGTAGCAAATCTGACGTCACCTCTGTTCAAAAACTGTTTTAAAGTGGCGTACTTGATTTTTTCTCGTATTTTCTTCAATTTCTGGGATGAAATTACTCATTAATTAGGAGAATTAAAAAAAATCTGATATCATGGGAATATTCCTTATAGACTGTATATCATATTAATGTGCTAAATATGTGCACTTATCTCAAAAACACCTTGTATATCCTTCCATTGACTTTTCCTTGTGAATTACATTATACCTAAAGAAGTCACAGCTGTGCGCTAAGTTGGCAATTATGTTTCACTTATTTTGTGCAATAAGTCACACATTAATTTTGTCAAAATACCTGTTACGGAATCAAAAAGAGTAGCGTGCATGACTTTACGCAAAATATATCAACTGTTCATTCTCAAAACAGCTCCACCTAGTTTCAATAAGATCACAGAAAGGGTCATCGAATTATCTATGAAAAAATGATTATTTTATGAAATTTCAACATGCTGTTAGCGGTTGCGATAACGAAGCATTTACGGACCTATATTCATATAGGACATTTTCTTCACTGATGAGTATTACATGTCCTGATGGTGTTTAGCAGATAAAAACTGATTCCCCCCATTATATTCATTCTTGGCACATTCGATTCAGAAATTTCCGTTTTTTTATCGTTTGGAGCACATAAAAGGAAATCCCTATAATGTTCGAAGAACATCGTGCGTGCAGCGTGCCTCGGGAGGATAGAGGGAGAGGATGTATAAATGGATATCGCAATTTTTTTCACCTTTGGGTTTGGTACATTTTTGGTGAATCTGGTACAATTCACGGATGATTTTGTTACAAATATTTTCACGTTGTGGTAACACTGGTCCAACAACAACAACAACAACATATTCGGAAACTAGTAGAACTTCGGCTCATACTGAAAGTAGGTTCAAACTTCGTTATTTCAAAATAGAATGGTTACTAGATTAGGGTGAGAATGTGAATTTAACAGAAACCGTTCTGACTGATAGTCACACAAAAATGTATCGTACACTCCGATTCAAAATATGTGTTGTTCTGTTATAGTTGTTAATGGTACAATATTCAAGCTTTTTATTCCGAGGAAATAACAAACCACGTACCTCGTATTTCTACAGAAAAATGCCAACGTCGTGTTGTCATATAGAACAGTTTTTTTAATGTTCTGGTTCCCACGAAAAGGATATCCTTTAATGTTCAGAGAACATCGTGAGAACCAAGGAAAATAAGGTAGGTGTTCTTCTTAAATTTCTGGAGGTTATATACCTCGGGGAACACCTCTCTTGGCATGTGTTCCAGAGTCTCACTGTTCGTTGGATGAACGAGTCTTTGGAAAGATATCTTCTGCAGGTCTCCGAAGTGACCACGAAGGGGTGCGAAGCCTCAACTCGACGGGTTAATCTCGCGGGGACTGCCAAGGGAGGATTAATTGATGATATTTCAGAAGAGCATCGTCCATGAAAATATCTATGAAATAGAGCCAGATCGCCAACTTTCCTACGGTGTCCCAGAGAAGTGAGTGAGCTTGTGAGCGAGGCTTCACCCACTAGACGAATTCCCATTTTTTGGAAAGAATCCAACAATTTCAGGGTATGTTTGGGTGCTGCGTGCTGCTCTTCAAATATGGTAACACTATTCCAGGACAGGTCGGATCTGTGGCTTATAGGTCATAAGCAGCTGACTGGAAGTGAAATAGCTCCTGGCCCGAAACAGAAAACCAAGTTTTTGGGATGCACTTTTAGCAATTGATCTCACGTGATTTTTTCAAGAAAGGTTATTGCTGATAGTAATCCCAAGCATCGAAATGGATGTCTTAGAGGTATAGTTACTCCTGATAAGCTTATGTTGGGAACAGTGAGATCAGCTTTTCTAGAGAAAAGGCATGATCGAGGGCATGATCGTGTTTTGTTTGCATTGAAATCTACCAAGTTATCCCCATTCGAGAATTGTTGCCAAGTCCATATTTATGTTGTCAACATTTCTCCCTCATTCTTTTCTGATTTGCCTGAAAAAATTGATCAGATATCTATCGTATTTCGAGAATTCACTCAACAATTTCAATCAATAAAATATAACCCACAACCACATATGATGCAGTCACTCAAAGGAATTTTCTACGGTGTAGATGTGAATTAATAAGTGTTATTCCATGAGTGTTTTCATATTGAACTATCTATTTATTGATGAAGAGAATTCTATCAAAACCTAAACGAGTAATACCTTCATTTTATTTTATGTTTGTCACTTCAATGAAACGATCTATTTTAACTATCTACTTTTCGTCCTTTTCAATATGGATTTGAATTAATTGTGAATTTATTAGGATGTTTGGATACCTCTTCAGAATTTATTCCTAACCACCTGGTATAATTCCGACCTTTCCAATTATTCAGTCAACAAAATAATTGATCTCCTTTTATCTTTTCAGACGAATCCCCAATCGCAGATCACCTCGACCAATATGGTAAGCAATTCTTTCAACAGCAATTAACGCCGAACACACCAACAATTACCGCAGAGCAGAAATATTATGTTCTCGTATCAGCACCGGCGCAATTTTTTTCTTTGGCGCTAGGTATAATAATGTATCCACTATCTGTGCTACCATCTGACTTTCGCTATACTATCTCAACAATGTTCTAAAGCGATTAACAATGGTTGTTACTTGAATTGTTAATAAACTGCAGCTGGAAAATATAATAGGCGAGTGCACTATTTTTTTTTTATTTCTCAAATAGAATCATCACTCAAATACTTTTCAGTTTAATATCTTTCAAGGATCCTTTGCTCGATTTTCAGGTGCTATAATCATCAATAATGCCACAGTAATTCTCAAACGGCTAAACATTTGAATTGACTCGGCAGTTACTTTGATGGATATCCATGGCAAATGTAAAAACTCCACAAACGATAAGATTTCCACAAAATTCTTAATTACACGACATGTTTCGCTAACACAGAAGCTTCATCAGGTGAAATACTGGTACAATGAACTAAACTTACCTTGGCTTGCCTAACTTCAATATATTCTACTTCCCCAGCCTGAAGGATTAGAATCACCTGTGGAAAGGTTGGAAAAACCTTCATTTTCGGAAAATAGGCACAATATCTACGATAAAATTCGATGTGCCGGATAAACTTGAAAGGGTTGATAGCAAATAACTACAGTGTCATTCATAAAGTCGGCATCATATGGAAAAAACTTTTATTAATGACTTATTTTGAAATTTGAGTTGGACGTTAGGTTTTGCTTCAAAAAAGATGAAAAATGGTCTACTCAATCAGGGTCACGTGACTTTCGTTACATGTTAAAAGTGACATTTTTTCAAATTAATCGCTGAAAGTAGGCTTATTTGTTCGAATATCGAAAAAGTTCACTTGAAAAAGTTGTTTCTATTTCAATTTTACACATGCTTCTCGAATTTGATTTTTCTATTGCAACTTTTAGATTTTGATTTTTTTTAATTTTTCGAAATTTCTGTAATATTTGGAGAATTGTTAATTCCACGAAACTACTTCATACCAGTAGCTTTTTCATGCTACTTACTTTCAATTACTTATTATCACTGATTATGGACAGAAATATGATTTTCTTCAGAAAATGATAATACCCGCTTCCAAATTCTGTTATGTTTGATGCAAAGTTGATATATCGTCAAGCATTTAGAAACAAAATTCATTCAAACTGATCTTTTCAGTACTGGAAAAATAAATTCAAATGAATTTCGTTTCTAAATGCTCGATTCAAACATAACAGAATTTTGATGTTATGTTTGCATCAAACATAACAGAATTTTGAAGCGGAGATCTGAAGAAAATCATATTTTTGTCGATAATTAGTGATAATTAGTATTTGAAAGTTAGTAGCATGATGAAATTACTGGTATGAAGTAGTTTCATCGAATTAACAATTTTTTTAATTACAGAAATTTCGAAAATTTTAAAAAACTATCGAAATCTAAAAAATGTAATAGACAGATAAAATCCGATTCACATATGTAAAATTGAAATAAAAACAACTTTTTCAAGTAAACTTTTTCGATATTCGAACAAATAAGCCTACTTTCAGCAATTAATTTGAAAAAATGTCACTTTTGACATGTAGCGAAAGTCACGTGACCCCGTTTGAGTAGGCCATTTTCCATCTTTTTTGAAGCAAAACTCAACGTCCAACTCGAATTTCAAAAGAAGTCATTAATAAAAGTTTTTCCCATTGCAGCATATACACAGGCTAGTGAATGTCCCTCTTTCAGAAGTAAATTTCAATAAAGAACTCAATATCATAAAACAGATTGCAGTCAACAACGGGTATATAGTTAATTTGATAGACAGTATTCTTCCTAAAAACTCCATAATAAAGATATTCGAGAAGTTTATCATACCATCAAAAATAATAATCAAAAGTATAGAACTTTTACCCATTTCGGATCATCAACAGAAAACTTAGTTTCATTTCTACATGAACAGGAATCAAAAATAGCATATAGAACAAATAACACGTTGGAAAGGTTTAACGAAAATAATGAAGACAAAACTTCTAAATTCGAAACATCAGTGGTATACAAACTCAACTGTGGGTCTTGTCCTAAGGTATATCGGGTGGTCATAAAAAAACCGGAAGTCTTTATTTTCCTCGTGGTTTCATCATTTCTCAACCGAATTCGAATTTCTTGGCGTCGTTTCATAGCTAAAGTGCTATAGTATACAATGGAATATTCGAAAATTTCATAATGGGCAAAAACAAAATGGCGGATTCTACCAAAGTATCGTCATTTACAAAAACCGCTGGAGAAAAAGAAAATCAGATTTTTTCCAACCTGTACCGATGTCATCTTTATCTATTCATTTCTGAAGAGAATGAGTACTCGAACATCGAAATCGAACGAATAGTCCAGTAGATACACTCATTTCTATGTAATTTGTTATGGAGTGAATGTGCGTGGAAACTGCAATGCTTCAGTTAGAAATAGCCCGGTCGATACAGAGCTGACTCAGTTCCGTAGTTGAAGCAAAAGGGAGACACATTCAGGTCATTTGAAAATTCGTTTTGTTTTGACTACAACTAGTATAAAGTTTTATATATTTTCAGGGTTTCACGCAATCTTCCTGGACTTACATCTCCATGTCAGTATCAACATTGTTCTATTCGCTAGCGGATTTTGTAAATCACGAAAATTAGGGTTACTCCACCATTTAGTTTTTTTTCGATTATGCAATTTTCAGATGTTCCACTGTGTACTACAGCTATTCAGCTTTGGAATGACATTGAAAAATCCAAATTCGATTGAATTCTGATGAAGCCAGAGCAAACTAAAAGTAATTCTTATCACGGGATTGGCACATTCACTCCATAACACTTTGCCAAAAAGAACGTATTTCTCCTGGAATAATTGTTCGATTCAGATGTTCGACTGCTCATTCTTTTTTGAAATCAATGATCTAAAATTGTATCGAACCTGATTGGAAGAATAAACATTTTTTTATTTGCCAGAGATTTTTGAAAATCACAAAAATTCTGGATTCTCCACCATTGTTTTTCTTTCAATTATTGGATTTTCAAATGTTCCATTGTGTACTACAGTTCTTTATCTTCGAAATAACTCTCAGAAATCCAAATTCCGTTGAATTTTCATGAAGCCTGAAGCAAAATGATAATAATCGTTTATACGAGATAACCACATTCACTCCATAACAAATTGCAAATAAATGAGTGTATCTCCTAGACTATTTGTTCGATTTCGATGTTAGGGTACTCATTCTCTTCAGAAATGAATAGCCTAAGATGACATCGGTACAGGTTGGAAAAAATCTGATTTTCTTTTTCTCCAGCAGTTTTTGTAAATGACAATACTTTGGTAGAATCCGTCATTTTGTTTTTGTTCATTATGAAATTTTCAAATATTCCACTGTATACTGTAGCCCTTTAGCTATGAAACGACCCCAAGAAATTCGAATTCGGTTGAGAAATGATGAGACCACGAGGAAAATAAAAACTTCCGTTTTTTTTGTGACCACCCATATATCGGTCAGACAGGTCGTACGTTAGTTTAATCAGCGCATTCATGATTGAAATATCGAATTTTTGTGTAACTCGGGATATCACGAACAACATTTTTATAGCCAGCTTCGTTTCAGAAATACAGGGCGAAATTGAAAATGTTGCATTATGCTCGCCTGTATATCTCAGCTATCTTTCAACTCATAAGAGAAGCAAAAACTGACCCTCATACATTTTTTCACTCGTAATAAAGTGCCAAAATATCTCTCTGTGAGATTTGAGGATTTTCTATGTTTGAGTTAGGTGTAGGGAATGCCTTTATGTAACTCATTCTCAAATTCCATTCTATTTCATATGGTGTCAAAAAATAGTAGGTACTATTTGAAAAAGTTCAATCTTCGGCAATTTTTCAACATCATTTGAAATTCCCAAACGCCTATATGATACAAAATGAGACCATCAATGGGATATCTGAAGTCAGCATGGACTATTCGAAATAAGAAAACTGATGTAGACTTTTGGCACACCCTGTATAGCTGGTGGACTGAAATATCTGATGTATAGATAGGAAATGATTGATTACCTATAACAGCACAACCGTTTTCAGGTTTTTATTTCAAACCTTCAAGTTGGAAAACTTTTAATGTGTGGTCTATACGTGAATCACCCTGATGGTAAACGAAAAATCTGTTCAGTATGGGACAATAGGCTCCTACACAACATGGACATACCAGTCTCGTATACAGGGTGATTGATTGAAAGGGTTCATTAGACGTACCTGGTGAACCAGTCAATGGATCGTTTTGAAAAATGGGGTGATCGCAAAAACGAACCCGCTCTATATCTCTTAAATAATTTCAATAATGCGGTGATGCCACTTCTATCAAAATGTAGTAGCAACTTTGATATTTCAAATCGAACAACCTGTATTTTATTACATTTGAAGATTCTTCCTGAAGAGCTAATTTCATCAATATATCACACTTGGGGTACCTATAGCGGAAATAATTACTGAGATATATCGAGATTTTACACCTTTTGAATTTTTTGTTACGAAACTTTCCGTTATTGGTCAAATCGGCTCACATGTCCCTATATCTTAACTCTCGATTTACTAGGATATACTTCCATTTCATTGGAACAAATAAAGGGTGATCAGAATTCTGAATCTTGAACCACCCTGTATTTGTTCATATTGAATGTCAGAAGATGAAAAATCAGAAAACAAGATGAGGACATGCGAGCCGTTCTGACCAATAACGAAAAGTTTCGATCCAAAAATATCCTAAAATTGAAAACTCTCGATTTTGAAAACTCTACGTCTCTGGAATTATTCCCGCTAGACTCCAAATATGATGTATTGATGAAATGATCCCTTCAGGGAAAATTAAAAATACAGTGTGTTTCATGTGAAATATCAAAGTTGCTACTACTTTCTGGTAGGAACGGCATCACCGCATCATTGA